CATCCAGCCATCCTGAGAACGTTCCTGAGTGTGAGAAGGGTTGTGAGTGGGGAGGTTTCCTGGGTGTAGTGCAAAGCCACTGGTCACACTGCCCACAAAACAGGTGACTGGCTGGGAGATTCAGCTGCCCTGAATGCAACCCTCTCCTCACCTCCCTGTTCCAGTGGGACTCAGCACCCAGAGCCTGCCCCGGTGTCCTCTGTGGACAGCTCGCCCGTACTGGCCTGGGGTTCCCCTGCGTGACTGTCAGCTGTGCCTTCTTCTGCTCTCTGTTGCAGAAGCCCAAGGACACCAGGTGCCCACGGCCCTTGTCCCTGCTCTACTCTGCCTGGACTAGCTCTCTTTCTTTTCATTTTCAACTCTTATTTACGACATTTAAAAACAAAACAAAAACATAAAAGTAGAACATGAACCCTGAACGAGAGGCCTTCAAAAAGTTTGTGGGAAAATGGAATTAAAAGATAATGGAGTTTCCCCATGAACTTTTTGAAGTCCCTCGTGTTAGTACTCTGTTGGCACACTTACAACTTTACTACGATTATAGTGACTTATGGGAAATTGGCTCCTGTGCCTTTCTCAGCTTCCGAGGCCTCTTGCATTCCCCGTCCCTCTCCTCCATCTGTGAAACACATCCCTCCAGTCTCTGCTTCTATTGTCAAAGCCCCTTCTCCGCCTCCCCCTCACTCTCCCTTGTGACTGCACAGGAGTCTCTGCGTGATGCACACCATGTAGCCAAAAGGTTGCAGGTCTGAGTCCACTCAGGTGCCTCGGAAGAAAGCCCTGCTGTCTGCTTCTGAGAAGTCAGTTGTTGACAACCTTATGGAGTCCAGTTCTGCTCCGACGTACCATGGGGCAGCATGGATTGGGGTCACCTAGACAGTAACTGGTGGGGTGGTGTGTTGAGTTTTGCTGGACAATTCAGGGTAATCTGTGCATCTGAAGACCCTTAATTTAGGACATCTAAAAAGTCCCTTTTGTAATATGAGGTGACAGCCACGGTTTCGCAGAGCCCTGGTGCAGTGGTTAAGTGCTCTGTGGCTAATCAAAAGGTCTTCGATTTAAATCCACCGACAGCTCTGTGGGAGAAGGATGTGGCAGTGTGCTTCGGTAAAGATTGCAGTCTTGGAAGCCACATGAGGGCTCCCCTCTTCTCTGTAGGGTCACTGTGTGTTATACCGACTTGGTGGCAACAGGTTCACAGGTTTCCAGGGACAGCAAGTGGACATCTTTGAAGGGTCACTATTCAGCATCCACAATCCCCAAGGTAGCCAACAGCAACAGCATCTCATCTATCCCAAATAATAACCTTTTATAAACTGGAGAATTTAAAGCGGATCACAGAGGTCATATTATTTCCTCTGTACTTCTTTATCACACCCACCAGAATTAACAGTAATTCCTTAACAGGACAGTAAACAGTCTTTTTTAGTTGGCTTGTTAAAATCAGGATCCAAACAAGACCCATGTTTTGCATGCTCTTCCTATACAGAATAAACGGGCCATTTGTCTTGTGGGGCTGCCTCATTTCACCTTTGTGAGGCCACTGTCTAAGTTCCTCTCTTCCTGACATCACAGCCTGAAGGATGATGGCTGATTAGACTCAGGTGTGGTGTTTTGGTAACAGCATGCATGTCACGGGTGATACTGGGCCCTCGCACTGTGTTGCATCAGGAGGTACATGATGTCTGGTTGTCCTGTTTTAGACCAGGAGATGGCTTAGAGGGGGCAGGTCTTGTCAACTTGATTCCTTCATTACAGTTTTCTGTCTCTCCCACTTGTGGTTCAGCAGCCACTGACTGCCACTGCCCATTAGTCTGTTAGGGGTTGCAGAATTACTCTGATTCCATTCCTCCTGCATCTGTTACCTGTGTCTACGGATAGTCCAGGTGTCCTGGAGCAGAGGAATTGCTTAAGTGCTCAGCTCACCCAAGGAGTCCTGGTGTAGTGCTGTAGGAGAAGCACTGCACCGCAAGGTTGGTGGTTCAAACTCACCAACTGCTCCACGGAAACACTACAGAAGGTTGCCATGAGTTGGAACCTACTCTATGGCACTTAACAACAACACAAATAAACAAAAGGTTGGTTTGGGCCTTGCTAGTGATAGGTGACCTTTGAAGTGGTGGTGGGGGGAAGGTTTGGTAACATGGGAAGAAAACAGGACAAGTTAGCATGGACTCCAGCTGCTTCCATGTATATAGTACCTGTGAAAATGTATCAAGCTGTGTACAACTATGCTTTATGTATTTGTCTGCCTTTACTTTACACTGAAGTGAAAGTTTACATAACCAAACCATGGAGAAGCAGCAGCCAGCAGCCAGTCTGAGGTGTGGGTACTTCTGTGGAGAGGGCATTGGCACTGATGAGTCTGGGACCGGGGAGGCTTTCACAGAGAGGAGATGGGTCCGCAGTTTTAAATCTTACAAGAAGTAAAACACAGATCCTGTGAGCGTACCAACCACAAGGTATCAGAGATTTTGGTGAGAGCATGGTGAACATAACAACCATAGTCACAGCCACTTCTCATCAACATGGCTGGACTTCAAAGACCAGGTCATTGTACCCAACTCGGTGAATGTGAAAATGGAGGATGACCACATCATGTCACAGAATGAGAATGGCCAAATCACAGAACCAAGTTCACACGCAGCCTTAATCATCACAGCCAGCGTTACTGTTGTCTTGCACCACAGTGTTTGTTACTGCTAGATGAACATCGTGAATGCACAAGATAGTTGGGCAATAGAGTTTCTACTGTTGTCCTCAGTGCAAGATGTAGACAGCCAGATAGCTGACAAATGGGGGTTGGGTGAAATGCATACCCATTGTCTCCAAATGATTCCATATAGATGAGCAAAAAACAGATGAATACAAAGAATTTCTTAATACCATGAAGCAGAAACATAGAGATACTGAGTGGAGAGGAACTGTGGTTAGGTGAAGACTGGAATACGGGAAGGAGAGAGTGACAGTAGGCTCCATAGGAGATGGACTGTCAGAAGAAGTTGGGCTGCTGGTGGTGGACACACCAGGAGGAGGAAAGGACAGAAAGATACAGGAAACAGGACTCCTGACTGCATGTGGTCTCTGAGGAGGTGGGATACAGATCCAAGAGAATGCTTGGTCTTCCACTGGGGCCCAGTGGGTTCAGCTTGTCGGATAGCAACAGAGTTAATTCTGGGGTAAGGGGAGCAGTTGGAATGGATGAAGTCAAACTTGATACGTTGAAGACCCGGGTGTTGTGCCACTGAGTCAATTCTGACTTATAGTGATTCCACGTGGCAGAGTAGGACTGCCCATGGGGTTCCCAAAGGCTGTGTTCTTTACCGAAGCAGGAAAACCTTGTGCGCTGTCCATGGTTCTGGCACAAAGCAGGTCTCTTTACCCAAGCAGACAAACCTTGTGCAGTCCATGGTCCTGGGCACAAGGCTGGCCCATAGGAGTAGATCGTCAAGTCTTTCTCTCTTGGAGGCTTTGGGTGGGTTCAAACCACCAACCTTTTGGTTAGCAGCCAAGTGTATAATTATTGTGAAGACTAGCCAGGGAAAGCTTTGTGTTGACCCAGATCAGATGATAAGTTTCTAAGCCAGGACCTGCAGTGGCAGAAAAGGAGCCCATGGGAGAGACCTTGTGCAGGTAGAAGTGATTGCGTTGGCTGGGTGGGGAGGGACTGCGCACGCAGCCAAGCTGTGGAAGTATGCACTTTGTGTGGGCAGCATTAGGGATATTGATTCTGTCCTGGCATTGAGGTAGACTAGAAAGCAATTCCAGGCTGAAAGGAGGACAGGTGCAGTAGGCTGCTGAGACGTGAGTTGTAGGGTGTGTGTCGTGCCAACCATGACACAGCTCACCCCCACCACAAGGAGACACACTTGTCCCACCCCACCCCTGAATGCTTAGATCAGCCGAGACACGTGTTGATTGCTTAGCAGGATGGTGAGGGGCAACACTCATTGTAAAAATCAGATTTGTGCTATCATCCATCTTTACTTGTAGTACCTGACTAGAATAATCCTGGATTTTCCCCTAACAACTTCAGTTTTGGCTGTTAGAGCTCAAGTGCTTCTGAGAGCTGGACCTGGGCTGCTGTGTTTGGTTCTGTCTACATCTCTGCTCCAGCTCTTGGGATAGAGTGACTCTGGCATGGAATCTTCCCATCTCTGGCTGGGAAGGCAGCCTGCCAGTATTCAAATCACCCTTTCACACTCCAGATTCACACATTGAAAAGCAAAGGTCCAGCCCCAAGATCTCTGGCCAACAACCGCAGCTCACCCAGATCCCAGGCTGTGTTGTATATTAGTGCTTCATGGTGGTTCCATGGGTGCAGAGTAGAATTGCCCCATAGGGTTTTCAAAGATAGCTTGCATGGTGCCTCTGGGTGGGTTTGAACTGCCCACCTTTTGGTTGGTAGTCGAATGTTTAACTATTTGCACCACCCAGAGACTCCTAGGTTTTCTTAAGTGTCTAGATTCCACCAAAAGGGGGAGTCCTGCTCCCAGTGGGTGTTCTGTTCACACCAGCTGTTTTGTGAATAGGATAAAAATCTTTCAAGAGACTTGTTCAACTTTGCAGTGGTTGTTGTAGATACCCAATTCCATTAGGTAGGCTTGATTGTGTAATGGCTAAGGTCTGGGCTGCTAATGGAAAGATCAGTGGTTTGAACCCACCGGCCACTCCTTGAGAGAAAAATGTGGCAGTTGGGTTCGGTAAAGGATTATAATCTTGGAGCAAACCCTATTCTGTCCTGTAGGTTGCTATGAATCAGAATCAACTTGATGGCAGTGGGAATGTGTTAATTTTCTTAGTGTGTGTCCCAAATATGGGACTGGATGGTTCCTAATGAACCCTGACCTGCATCAGTTAGACTCTTGAGCATAACTAGGCTGCTTTCTGTTACAGCCAGCGTCCTTTCCCTTCCCTTCTCACCTGTCATCCTCACTCCATCCCTAGTAAACACTGGAAGGGTGGCCCCAAGTTGAGGAGGAATATGTGTGTTCTTTTAGGAACCAGTGACCTTCAAGGATGTGGCAGTGGACTTCTCCCAAGAGGAGTGGGGATGGCTGGACCCCATACAGAGGACCTTGTACCGCGACGTGATGCTGGAGACCTTTGGGCACCTGCTGTCTGTGGGTAAGGCAGGTGCTGCTCATGCCTATGCAATGCCTTCAGCACCTCTACCCTGAAAAGCTCATGCAGCCTTAGGAGGACTGAAATCCCTAATGCTGGGGGGACATGGTATGGGTGGGGCAGGACTTAATCTTCTCAAATGAAAAGTCACAGTGGAGGAGCAGGCATGCTGTCCCAAAGAAAGCCACATGTCCTAAGTCCCATGCTTCTCCTGCATGTATAGGGAATGAGATCACCAAGCCTGAGGTCATCTCCCTGTTGGAGCAAGGAGAAGAGCCATGGACTGTGGAGAGAGACTGTCCTGCAAGCTCATATCCAGGTGAGAGCAGACCATGGCCTCAGTATGGCCAGGGAACTCAGGATGAGGAGTTCTCTTTCTCAGATACATTCAGAATTCCCTCTGCATCTGTCGCCTTTCCTGTACTGACTTCTTGTTATTGATTCAGAACCAAGGGAGCTTTTCCCTTAGGCTGTAGGTGTCCCTCTCGCCCCCGCCGTTGTCTGGTGTCCCTTCCTCTAAGATGACTGTTTTTGTCTCCTAATGCTGCTATAACAAAAGCACAACAGTGGATGCATGAAAAGACAAAAGCTTGTCTGTCACAGGTCAGGAGGCTAGAAATCAAAATGCAGGCACCAGCTTTAAGAAGAGAGTATTTCTCTGATGGGTCTGGAGCAAGATCCTTGTCTCTTTCAGCTTCTGTAGCTCTAGCTTTCCTCGGTTCCTTGGTGATCTTCACGTGACATATATCTTCATTTCCCCCAATTCCCTGTTTGTGTCTGCCATTGAAAGATGTCTGCATCGTACTCCCCAGAATCTGTGAATCCATGAATCCCTGGGAAAGTGGACTTTTCAATTGTGATTAAGAATGTTGAGGTGGAGAAAGTATTTTGGATTATCCAGGTGAGCCCAATGTCATCAGAAGGGTCTTTTAAAGAGAGAGGTAGGAGACAGAGGAGGTATGGCAGCAGAAACAGAGACAGGAGTAATGCTCTTTGAAGATGAAGGAGGGTCAAGGAATGTAGGTGACCAAGTTGAAAAAGGCAAGGAAACGCTCTCTTCTGTAGTCCCCACGGGGTGTGGACCTGCTGGTACCTTGATGGTAGCCCAGTGAAGGCAGTTTTGGACCTCTGAGCTCCAGAACTGAAAGATAACGGGAGAGGTGGGGCAAGATGGCAGGCTAGGCAGAAAGGCTTAGGGACCCTCTACAACAAAGACATGGAAAACCAGACGAAACAGATGTGGATGATTGTCCTGGGACTTTGAGCTTCAGGTGAAGGGATAGAGAAGTGGATTGGATGAACGCTAATTACGCTGTTTTAAGTGTAGTTCTTTGTAACAGCAGCAACAGGGAATGAACACAGGCCCCTTCAGTTGTCAGGGGGCTGATGCTTCAGCAGCGATGGCAGTAGCTCCCAGGTGTTGGAAGTCTGCCGTCTCATCATCAGTGAAGCCCATAAGGGTAGTGGCAGAACCACTATTTAAATACTGATGATCAGAGCACCACTCCTGTATCTGTTTCATCACCGTATGCTCCCTTGCAAGTCCCTCTCTCATAGCAGTCTGCTAAATTTTTTCGGTAGTGGCTATAAGAACTATAATTTGAAGGGGATCTTTAAATTACGATGTTTGTTCTTTGGGCTGATGGATTTTCCATCACTGATTGGACTCTATGGCTTTCCTACTTTCATAGACGCCCTGGTGAGCAGCTTGGCTCTGTATCCTTTCACTTTACGCCATGCACTCCTTTCTAGATGAATGTGATGTCAAGTTATGGAAGCAGTAAGGATGTTGCCGTTGTTGTCAAGTGCCATTGAGTCAGATCCGACTCATAGTGTCCCTTTATAGGGTTTCCTAGGAGCGGCTGGTAGGTTTGAACTTCAACCTTGTGGTTAGTAGTCCAGTGTTGACCCTACATTGCCATTCCAGGACTCCAGAAAGGATGTTGTTGTTGTTGAGTGCTGTCAAATCAGTTCCAACTAAGAGCTATACTCTATGGTTTGCAAGGAGCAGCTGGTGAGTTTGAACTGCTGACCTTGCGGTTCAAACCAAACTTGTGGTCCAGTGCTGATCCTACAGCACCACACCAGGACTCCAATAAGGACATTATTACATAAAAATTAATTAGGCACCTACTTAATAGTTTAAACATTAACTGCCAAGGACCTGTGAGTTAATCTATCTTTGTTAAAACAGAAAAACCAATTATTATTACTATTACATTCTTGTTATTTGTTGCCATCATCTGGAGTCTGATTCATGGTGATCCTTCATATGCAGTAAAGCCATGCTCAGTAGGGCTCTTAAGGCTGCCATCTATTGGAAGCTCTTCACCAGGCCTACCTGCTGAGGAGCTTCTGGATAGGTTCAAACTGCTAACCTTCTGCCTAGTAGTTGAATGCTTAGCCATTTGCGTTACCAGGGATTTTCTCTCCCGTTAAATAGCATTCAGTGTCAGCTTTGTGGCATCCTACAGGATTCACTTAATTCCTCCAGCAATGAGATGTGATAACAGGTGTGTAGTGTCGTCCATCAGGGCAGCTCACCTGAGCCTGGGAGTCAGTCAGGAAGCACATAGTACCTGTGTGAGTGACTTTAATCACTGAAGTGCCAGACCCCCAGAAAGAAGTAAGGTGGTCCCCGTAAACGATACTGTTTGCGCAAACTCTCAGAAGCAACGATCACAGTGTGCTGTCGGTTCTCAGGCACGCAAACCACTTTTATCCGTTAGAGAATTCGAAGACTTCATTTCCCAGCAGCTGACCAACGGCCAGTCTTGAAAAAAACGCCTGCTTGGAATACGCAGCACCTGAGCCACTCTGGCAAGCTGCATTCTCGATTGCATACCCTGCGGTGGTCTTTTATCCATAGGAAAGTCATCCTTAAGTGGGCTCGATTAGTTTTCAGTACACACTTTGTATTCTGGTTAGATACTTTTGTTCCTTATTCCTCCTCTTCTCTTCTCATTTATGATCTTTTGTGGTTTACAAGTTTGTATTGGAGGGGGGCGAAATCACACTTGCCTATTTGCTGTTACGGACAGCAAATCTCATTATTTCTAACTCTTTTCTGAGGATTTATTTCTCTATGTTCTCATATTCCTGTTTATTTCAGAATGGATGAGAACTATTGAAAGGAAAGCTGTGAGCCCAACACAGAACGTTTTTGCAGAAGAAAAATCCCATGGCATGAAGTTGGCAAGATACATATGGGATGACCCTTGGTTCTCCAGGGTAGAAGTCCTGGGATGTCAAGATCGATTAGAAATGTACCACTTGAACCAGAGCAGAGCTATGAGGCAAATGGTCTTCATGCAAAAGCAAGTCCTGTCACAAAGAGGCTCTGAATTCCGTGAACGTGGGTCACACTGTAGCCAGAGCGTAAACATGGTTCCATCGCAAAGAATTTCTCAAATAGAATGTTTCCATAAACCTGATGCACAGGCTGAAAGCTGGAGATACAATTCAGCCATAATGTATGCCGATAAGATTACTTGTGAAAATAATGATTATGGCAAAGCCTTCTACCAATCCATTCAACCTATTCACCCTGCAAGAATACAGACTGGAAATAATCTTTTCAGTTGTACTGAAGCTGTTAAATCCTTCAATCAGATAATACACTTTGGTGACCATAAGAGAATTCATACAGGAGAGAAACTCTTTGAATATAAGGAATGTCATCAAATCTTTAACCAGAGGTCTTCATTTAATGAACACCCAAGACTTCATATTGGAGAAAACCAATATGATTACAAAGAGTATGAGAATATCTTTTATTTCTCATCCATTATGGAACATCAGAAATTTGACACTGCAGAGAAAGCATATAAATACAATGAATGGGAGAAAGTCTTTGGGTATGATTCATTCCTTTCTCAACACACAAGCTCTTACACCGCAGAGAAACCCTATGACTATAATGAATGTGGGACATCTTTCATCTGGAGCTCTTACCTTTTCCAACATAAGAAAACTCATACTGGAGAGAAACCCTATGAATGTGATAAGTGTGGAAAAGTTTTCAGGAATCGTTCAGCTCTTACTAAACATGAACGGACTCACACTGGAATAAAACCCTACGAATGTAATAAATGTGGGAAAGCTTTCAGCTGGAATTCTCATCTTATTGTCCATAAGAGAATTCACACAGGAGAGAAACCTTATGTATGTAATGAATGTGGGAAATCTTTCAACTGGAACTCTCATCTTATTGGACACCAGAGAACTCATACTGGAGAGAAGCCTTTTGAATGTACTGAATGTGGGAAATCTTTCAGCTGGAGCTCCCATCTTATTGCTCACATGAGAATGCATACTGGTGAGAAGCCCTTTAAATGTGAAGAATGTGAAAAAGCTTTTCGAGATTACTCTGCCCTTAGTAAACATGAAAGGACTCATTCTGGAGCAAAACCATATAAATGCACAGAATGTGGAAAATCCTTCAGCTGGAGCTCCCATCTTATTGCCCATCAGAGAACTCATACAGGAGAGAAACCCTATAACTGCCAGGAATGTGGCAAAGCCTTCAGAGAACGTTCAGCCCTTACAAAACATGAGATCATTCATTCTGGAATTAAGCCCTATGAATGTAATAAATGTGGGAAATGCTGCAGCCAGATGGCTCACCTGGTTAGGCATCAAAGGACACACACTGGAGAGAAACCCTATGAATGCAATAAATGTGGGAAATCTTTCAGCCAGAGCTGTCACCTTGTTGCTCATCGGAGAATTCACACTGGTGAGAAACCCTATAAATGTAATCAATGTGAACGATCCTTTAACTGTAGCTCTCACCTCATTGCACATCGGAGAACTCATACTGGAGAAAAACCATACAGGTGTAATGAATGTGGGAAAGCCTTCAATGAGAGTTCTTCACTTATTGTACATCTGAGAAACCATACTGGAGAAAAACCCTACAAATGTAATCATTGTGAGAAAGCGTTCTGTAAGAATTCTTCTCTTATTATCCATCAAAGAATGCACAGCGGAGAGAAACGCTTTATATGCAATGAGTGTGGAAAAGCCTTTAATGGTCACTCAGCCCTAATTCAACACCAGAGAAACCACAGTGAAGGTAAACTGTCTGGATTGAATTGATGGAAAATTTCTCTTTTTTTGTATGTTTGCTAACACATTTGTGAAAATCAAAACAAAACAAAATTATAAATAAAATCAAGAGGGGAAAACGTTCAGTAAGAATTCTCCCGTCACCAGAAAATATCCTCTTAGAAGAAACACTATGAGTGAAAAGAATAAGGGAAAGCTTTCAGCAGTTATATCTTATTAAATTAATATTTAGAATCAAGAAAACCCCTTTCATTGCCCACCAGGAGCCCATACTCAAGGAGTGTGACCGTAGGGAATCAGACTTTTTTTTTTTGAGAAAAAGCCCTCACCTATTTCCGGATCAGTGTGCATTGTTAAGGGAAAAATCTTATCAGGAAAAGGGTTTCAATTGGAAATACACTGTTTTGCACCAAGCTGGAGGACTGGGTGGAAATCTTTACAATAAAAGTTTACACATAATTACAGACAATACAGAAAGGATATGCTATTTTAAGGGCCTCCCCTTAAAAGGACTTGGTGCCCTTTAAGGAATATAATCTGGAATACACAATTTGAATTTTAGAAAAAAAGAAATGTTGGCATATTTACTGTTGATCAAGATTAACTTCCTTAGAAAAACTTGTAAATGCGATTGCTAATGGTGGAAAGATTATTGCCGATGAGACTGTGTTGTTGGAACAAAAAGTGGTAAACTGGAGTTCCCGTGTCTCCTGCCTCTTCATGCCTGCCATGTTGGGCAATTCGTTTGTAATTTGTTCTAGACAGTCACTAAAGATTACCAGTGACTGCATCACTGCACGCCACATGAAGGAATACAAAGGACACCATTGTGTATACAAGTTTACTATAACAAATCTAAAAGTGTACATGAATAAGTACTGGAAAGGCCCATGAAGAAATGAACCTGGTTAGTTTTATTTTAGTTTTACAACCATAGCATTTACCATGTGCCAGGCATTGTTTTAAATGCTTCACAAATACTAACTCATTCAATCCCCTTAGCCCTGTGAGGCAGGTAGTATCGTTACCCCAGTTCTACAAACCAGGAGACTGAAGCAGAGATGTTAAGGAACCCACCCAAGGGCACATGTAGTAAACAGTAGAGCTGGGGTTTGCTTTGACTCCAGAATTCATGTTTTTAATCACTGTGTTATGTTGCCTCTCCAGTGATGTTTTCCCCCCTGATATTTTTTCTCTCTTGTTCAGTATTTCTACAGTAGAGATTTGATATTAAAAACTAATAAAACCCTAAACAAAGAGAAATAAAGTTACCTGGCTCCTCTGTCTCAAAGGATTTGTTGTTAATTTGAGAGTAAGCTCCCCTTGGAATTTGAAGAACACTAGAACAAACATTCAGAATCACTGCATTTTCTGGGACCTGGGATTCCTAGAATATTATCACCCACAACCTAAAGGATTATGGAAAGGAGGCACTGTGGACTCACTGGAGTTTGGATGAGCCTGAAGAATGCCTTTGATAGATTCAGAATGTCCATTGTGGAGCACAATGTGTCTTGGTATCTAATATAAAGAAACCCACAAATGGATGGCTTTCGCAGAAAAGTATTCTCACAGTGTTGTTGTTATGTACCGTGGCGTCGATTCCGACTCACAGTGTAGGAGGCTAGAAATCCAAATTCAGCCTTTCTTGGTTGACTGGAGAAAGGCCCTTGATTCCTTTCATCAACTATAGGCCTAACATTTCTTGAAGAGCTCCATGCATATTGGCATTAATATTCCTTTCTATCTAGGAAATTCACAAGACAGGGATACCAGGTCCAAAGAACACACTCCACTCCTGGCTGTATTTTCTTGGTAATAGTAGGTCCCTCTGAGCTCTGCTTGCCTGTCTAATTTTTGGGGGATGGAGATGGGAAGAAGTAAGGAGTTACACTTAAGGCTATAGTTAGGTCTAGGCAAGCCGTAGGACTTCATTTAATGTTTCCTGTTTAATCTCTCTTATATCTCAATTGAAATTGACACAAGATACAACCTAACCCTGTAGCTTGCACCCGGCCTCATTACCATACAAGTGAGGATTTACAACAGGGTAATTACATCAGATCAGGGCCGATCACATCAGATCCTGCCTTGGGTGAGATTATACAATATTAGATCTCATCATGTCAGATTATTACATCCTAATTGCCAAGCGCCACTGAGAATTCAGGCCCGGTTAAGTTGACAGAAAACCTTTATCAGCCTCTGCCAGCTTGGCACATCTTTCCTTAACCCATACATAACCTCTAGATTAAGACCGTTAGAAACTCGCTTGCATCTAACGTGATGCAATTAACATGTTTACAACTGAAAACACACTCCCATTATATTATTCCCCCAAGTCTTCCAAGTCCAAACTTCAACCTGGGACAAAATTCCTCTTCATCTGTGAATCTGTAATAAAACTCAACAACTTCCAAAAACAACGGTGGAACAGGCAAAAGGTAGATATTTTCATTACAAATAGAAGCAATTGGAGGGGAAGAAGGGATAATGAGCACCAAGCAAGCTAAAATTCCAGCAGAAGAAACTACATTAGCTCTCATGACTTGAAAACCATCTATTGTTGGACATTTAGGCAGTGACTGGGGGTTGGCCATGCAGGCTGGCCCCTTAACCCTTCCAGGCACATTGGAAAAACATTCTACTCTCCTTTGGCAGCCCCATTCTCCTTGCTCTTCTGAGTGGTGATCCCATCTCTTCCGTCTTAGCAGGCCCCATTTTTTCTACCCCCTCGGCTTTGGGCAGAGGCGCCATTTGAACAGCATCCCCACACTCCAGAACCTAGTTGGAAAGATCTGACTCCTTGAAACAGGAAACTGAGGTCCCACGCATAGAACCCCAAAGGTCATGATTCCACCCTTGGAGAGCCCAGAGGTCATGGGCTTACCTTTAGAGACTGGACAGCTCTGTTTCCTGTGCTCCTTAACTCTTCAACTTCTGCTTCCTGGTTCCTTGGTCTCTGCTCAAGCAAGTGTTACAAAGCTGTTTGTTGTTGTTAAGTGTTGTCAAGTCAGTTCTGACTCAGCGACCTTGCATAGCTCTACAGATAAGTGCCCAGATGCACCTCACTCTACCACTAAGCCTTGGATGGAAGGTGCTCGGTTCTCTCACTCTGTGCATCAGAGACCCTAATTCCTCTGACAAGTGTGAGGCTCCCCACTCCACCAGGAAGCCTCCTGAATGAAGGCTCTCAACTCTAACTCCGTGGTCAGTTCCTGTGCCATCTTGTGTTGGTCTCCTGGTTCTGCTGCTAGTGTCCCCGCTGCCTCCCACCTTCTGTGCTGTTTCTGGTGGTACAACTTCCCTCAGTTCTGAACCCTTATCAACAGCCACCATTCCATCAACAGTCTCCCCTAGGCCATGTAAGCGTTTGCTACTCATCCACACTCTACTCATTATCCAATTCCAAAACTGCTTTCACATTTTAGCAATCTGTTTGAGAAGCATCCTACTCTCCTGACACTAAATTCTCTCTTAGGTACCTAGTGCTCCTATAACAGAAAGACCACAAATGGACAGCTTGAGCAAACAGAAATCTATTTTCTGTTTGTTGTTGTGGGGTGCCATCATTTCCAACCCATAGTGACCCTACGTACAAGAGAACGAAACACCGCCTGGTCTTGCACCATCATCATAATTACTGCTGTGCATGAGCCCGTCACTATCACCGCCACTGTGCCAATCCATCTCATTGAGCATCACCCTCTTTTTCACTCTTCCTCCACTTTACCAAGCCTGATGTGCTTCTCCAGGGACTGACCCCTCCTGAGAATATGTCCAAAGTATGACAGATGAAGTCTGGCCGTCCTGACTTCTAAGGAGCATTCTGGTTGTACTTCTCCTAACACAGATTTGTTTGTTCTTCTGGCAATCTGTGGTACCTTTAAGATTATTCTCCAACACCATAACTCAAATTTTTTAAAAATCAATTTTATGGTTTTCCTTATTCACTGTCCAACTTTCACATGCATATGAGTCTGTTGAAGATACCATGGATTTGGTTGTCCTTGGTGGTGGTGTGCAATGCAGTCGGTTCTTACTCAGCAGTGCTGTATAGGGTTTCCGAGGCTGTAAATCTTTATGGGAGCAGAAAGCATCATCTTTCTCCTGTGGAACGGCTGGTAGTTTTGAACTGCTGTAGCATCCCGCCTTGTAACCACTTGCACTTTAGTCCTCAAATTGATATCTTTCCTCTTGAGTACTTTAAAGAGGACTTGTGCAGCAGATATGCCTAATATAATACGTAATTTGATTTCCTGACTGCTGCTTCCATGAGTGTGGATGGTAGATCCAAGCAAAACGAAATCCTTGACAACTTCAGTCTTCTCTCTACTTGTCACGATGTTATTTATTGGTCTAGTAGTTAGGATTTGAGTTTTCTTTACATTGAGGTGCAACCCATATCAAAGGCAGTCTTCATCAGTAAGTATTTTAAGTCCTCTCTGCTTTCAGCAAACAAGATTATTTCATCTGCATATTGCAGGTTATCAATGAGCTTTCCTCCAATCCTGATGCTACATTCTTCTTCATATATTCCAGTTTATCTGAGTATCTATCTGCTCAGCATACAAATTGAATAAGTAAGGTGAAAGAATACAACCCTGGCACACACCTTTCCTGATTTTAAACTATTCACTGTCCCCTTATCCTTTTTGAACAACTGCCTTTTAGTCTACCTAGAGTTCCTCATGAGCACAATTAAGTGTTCCAGAATGCTCATTCTCTGCAATGTTGTCCATAGCTTGTCATGATCCACACAGTCGAAAGCCTTTGCATAGTCAAAGCACAGGTAAAAAACCCGTTTCATAACCACTACATTCCTGTCAATGTATTGTTGCAGTTGTTTTTTAATTCTTTTCAGCAATTTTACTTGTATGTGATATTAATCATATTGTTTGATGATTTTTCCATTTCGTTGGGTCACCTCTCAGAAATGGGAACAAACACGGATGTCTTCCAAACGGTCGGCTAAGTAGTTAGTTGTCTTGAAAATTTCTAGGCATTCACGAGTGAGTGCTTGTACTGCT